CTCTGTCCTCCCCTCCCCTCCCCCAGCCACCACTCCTTTCCTCCCGCCCCGCCCACAACTCTCCTGTCCTCCCCCTCCCCCCTCCCCCAACCACAAAGCCTTCTTCCCCTCCCCGCTTCACTGCAAAATACCTGTGTATCACCCCCCGTCCTAACCCTCCGTCCCCTCCCCCGCTCCTCTCTCCTCCACCTCTACATGAGTTCTATGAATAGGATGGCCCCCTCAGGCCTGGAGAATATGGAGACCAGGAGTTTCACGAGGCCAATGTCACGGGTCCAGCGTGAGGGCAGCTTCTGAGCCGTCCTATTCGCTGAGCAGTAGCTCCTCCACCTCCGACTGTGTGCAATCTTGTCTGTAGAAGTACATCTACGAGAGGTACTAAAACAGAACACACACCCACACTGACTACTGTTTCAGAAACAAGGTTGATGAGAGTCTTTTTGTTTTCATGTCAGAAAGTGGTGATCTTCAGGAACAGAAATCATGGTCAAGACTTATGGCCAAAACCTGATTTTGGTTAGCTGAAGTCTTGTAGAAATCTAAAACTTACTACAAAAATTGACCAAATACTTTATTTTCCACGCATCTTATTGTGCCAATAAATTCCATTAAAAATCCCTACCATTATTTTCTTGTTTTTTTTTTTCTCATTTGGTTTTGTCTGTCATAGTGTTGACGTGTAAACTTGATGAAAATTAAGGCCTCCTCCTCCTTTTTAAGTGGGAGAACTTGCACAATTGGTGGCCCTGACTAAATCCTTTTTTTCCTTCCCACTGTATGTATTCTAAACCGCCATCGGAAAAACCTCACTTTGGGGTAATATGGAGTCCTGACACTAATCATTAAGAGTCATCCTGTAAGCAATATGTATCCTATCTTGGACCTTTGTAGGTTTTACTGTAACAGCATTGCTCATCATGATGGCCAACCCTCGGGCTGACAGGGGACACCCAGTCAGCCCATCAATTCTGTCTTTAATATGTGGGTTATGTGTCCAGTGTTGGTTAAAACACACAACACACACAACAGACAGCAGGGGGCATCCACAGGCAGGGATTTTTGCTTCCTTCCTTTTTTCTCCTTTGGCCTGTGTCCGTATACAACCTTAATTAACGTCTCCATCTTTCATTCGGGTCTCGCGAATATTAGTAAAAATTCTACACTGAGTTTGGTAATCATATAGTTTCGTGTTTTTGGCACGGTAGGTTCCACTCCACACCGACGAGAGACTCGACTGGGATGAAGGGAAAAAAGGTTTATTTCCTCTCCTTATCATACCGTGTCACTTCCTCTTTTTCTTTCCGTTCCTCCTATTCCTGTTTATCGCCCTCCCAGATTTACCGCAATTATCCCCCCATACCGTTTCTTGAACAAGCGACATCTGGATACTCTTCCATCCAATCCCTATTTTTATTCCCCGTTCGGAATAAAAAAGATCGGAATACGTATACACTCAAGACTTCAAGGTATAAATATCGGCTTTCATGTTTTAAGAACCAGGTAGGCATCTCAATAAGAGGAACAATTAGGTAGATAGGAAATGTAGATCACGAAGTAGTTATTTGAATGTATCAGAGTAGATAAAATATTCTAGAGGGTCCAGTGAAGAAGAGCGTTGCTACAATTGAACTTTCACTTAGTTTACTCATTTCTCCGGCTTCCGTCAACCCGGGGTCAGTCATTCCTCCTCAGAAAACAGTCGAAGGTTGCCTGCGGGGTTTTGACGTTCGAACTCTGCTGTTCCCCAGAGTCGAGCTCGGCCCGTCAGGTGAGTGATGGCATACCCAACCTTAGCCCCCTCCGTGGCGAAGGTCCTTGGCTGCAAGGAGAACTGAAGTCGGCAGCTAGTCAGGAATGGCCGGACCTGGGTTGAATCGCCGTTGAAACCGCTCGGGGTTTCCAATCTTGGGTTCCGGAGCAGCGGCTGCAATGACCGGGGCAGGTAACTCGGGGGCTGGGCTGGTGGGCAGACTGGCTGGGGTAAGGTTGGTGAGGAGTTGAATGATCATGGCGAGTTGTTGTTGCTGCTGCTGGAACTGCTGCTCATGCTCATCGGTTTCCATGTCGGGGAAAGTGTGCGCTGAGTCCATAATGGTCAGATCGTACTGTCACGGTTCAGACAGACGACCAGAGGACCACAATTGCGTCACACCAGAAAGTTTATTAAACTTAAGGGGAAAAGGGAAGTAGGGAGTGAATGAAGGCTCCAGGGGTAACAGGGATCCCGTCCAATGCGCTGGGTCTGTGCCCCCCCCAGTGGCAGCGATGCGTCCTATGAAGCCGGTGGTGGGTGGTCCAGAAGTCCTGGGGGGGGGAGACACAGACACAACAGGGCGGAATGAAACCAGGCAGCAGTACAGTTCAAGGGAAATCCAAAATACGTAGTAGCAAGGCAGAAGGCTGGTCAGAGTTACCGGGATTGAAGAGTAGTCAGGAGTCGTAATGGCAGAAGCAGGTCTGGATCTCCTGAGGCAGAAGAGTATCCAAAAAACAGGCAGGTCCGGGGTCACAAAACCAGGGTGAGCCAGAAGCGCGAGCAAACAGGTTCCGGGTGTGAGCTTTGCAGACGATCTGACACCGGAGAGCTGAAAGACAGGGCCTTAAATACTGGGAGAGGTAGTGGGTAATGCAGCGCAGCTGGCAGAGTAATTAGAGCAGAGCAGAGCAGGGACAGGTGGAGCTAGTTAGGCTGAGTAGAGAGAGTGGTGAGCAGAGTGGAAGAAAATTAAGGTGGTAACCCGGTGGAGTGAGAGGCCCATGACAGTAGTTTTATTAGTTGTAGGCGTATTAGTAGTTGTACAAAACGTTCTTATGCTGTTAAAGTACTTAAAATATATATATATATATATATATATATATACATATATATATATACATACAGTGGGGAGAACAAGTATTTGATACACTGCCGATTTTGCAGGTTTTCCTACTTACAAAGCATGTAGAGGTCTGTAATATTTATCATAGGTACACTTCAACTGTGAGAGACGGAATCTAAAACAAAAACAAGGCTGGGATGGGCTACAGGACAATAGGCAAGCAGCTTGGTGAGAAGGCAACAACTGTTGGCGCAATTATTAGAAAATAGAAGAAGTTCAAGATGATGATCAATCACCCTCGGTCTGGGGCTCCATGCAAGATCTCACCTCGTGGGGCATCAATGATCATGAGGAAGGTGAGGGATCAGCCCAAACTACACGGCAGGACCGGGTCAATGACCTGAAGAGAGCTGGGACCACAGTCTCAAAGAAACATTAGTAACACACTACGGCCGTCATGGATTAAAATCATGCAGCGCACGCAAGGTCCCCCTGCTCAGCCACGAGTCCAGCCGTCTGAAGTTTGTACCTCTGGGTCGAGGGGGGGGGGTTGTGGTTGTGGGGTTTTTAAAAAAGGGGAAGGTTTTATTAGAGATAGGGTTAAATAAAAATGGGGGAAACCCGGGGGAAAGGGAACCCAACATTTTTGTTTTAGGCGTTTGAGAAAACCCTTTTTTTGGGCTTAAAAAAAAAATAATATATAAAAATTTTTTTAATAAAAAAATTTTTCATAATATATAAATAAGGGAGCAAAGGAAACCGTTTTTTTTTTTTTTTTTTTTTTTGGGGGGGGGGTTTTGGGGGGGTTTTGGGGGGGGGGGGGTTTGGGGGGGGGTTTGGTGGGGGGTGTTGGGAAAAAAAAAAAGAACAAAAAAAGTTGGGGCCAAAAAAAACCCCCCCACAAAAAAAACCCCCCCCCCCCCCGGGGTTTGGGTTTTTTTTGGGGTTCCCCCCAAAACCCCCAACCCCCCCCCCCCCCCCCCCTCCCCCCTCTCCCCCTGTCCCCCCGTTTTAATTTCCCCAACCCCCGGGGGGCCGGGGAAAGGGGGAAAGGCATGTGGTCTGATGAAAAAATCCCCTTTTTTAAATCCAGGGGTTTTGGAGAAGAAGGGATGAAAAAACCCCCCCGGAAACCCCCCCCCTTTAAAAATTTTGAGGTAAACCACTTTACCTTTTTTTTTAAAAAAGGGGGGATCCCCTTTGAGGGGAGGAGGAGGGGCCAGTATGGGGATTTGGAAAAAACCCTCCCCCCTCAAAACTTAAAGGGGCTGGGGTTTCCCTTCCACCAAACCCCGCCGGGAACAAAGGGGCCCTAAAAAGCCCCAAAACCCTGGGGCCTGGCCCCCCCCAGACCTGAACCCAATAGAACATCTTTGGAGGGAGCTGATAGTCCGTATTGCCCAGCGACAGCCCCCGAAACCTGAAGGATCTGGAGAAGGTCTGTATGGAGGAGTGGGCCAAATCCCTGCTGCAGTGTGTGCAAACCTGGTCAAGACCTACAGGAAACGTATGATCTCTGTAATTGCAAACAAAGGTTTCTGTACTAAATATTAAGTTCTGCTTTTCTGATGTATCAAATACTTATGTCATGCAATAAAATGCAAATTAATTACTTTAAAATCATACAATGTGATTTTCTGGATTCCATCTCTCACAGTTGAAGTGTACCTATGATAAAAATTACAGACCTCTACATGCTTTGTAAGTAGGAAAACCTGCAAAATCGGCAGTGTATCAAATACTTGTTCTCCCCACTGTATATTATTATTATTATTATTAAGTATTGTTTGTTGATTTTTGTTGATTTGGACACCCTTGAAAACAAGATGGTGCATCTCAAGAGATGTAATAAAATAAATATGGAGTACACAGTGAACAGGTTAACCTCTTGACATTGCAGCAACAATAGGAGAGTCATTAAGTGAATAGAAGAGTACTAAGAAATAAATGCTCAATGAATAAGAAATAGGATACATTTTTGGCACAAATATAATACAAGGGGACACTGAAATGAATTGAAGTAGGATTGCTATGTGCTGGGCAATTGGCCAATAATAAATAGACATTGTGCAGTAATTTGAATAGGAGTCAAGTAGCAGAAGTCGTGTGTGTGTGATGTCTTCCTTTGGCTGTATAGATCTAATTTAACAAAGTATCTCCCCTGTGTGTCCCTCCCTGCAGCAGCCTACAGAGTACTTTGACATGGGGATCTTCCTGGCCTTCTTTATAGTGGTGTCTCTGGTCTGCCTCATACTGCTCATCAAGATCAAACTAAAACAGAGGAGGAGCCAGGTGAGGACACACACACACACACACACACACACACACACACACACACACACACACATAAATGCTTAGGCTCACAGTAGATGCTATGAATCAGGATTAACATCTCATTAATGAATGAAGAGCAGCACAGTAGCACTAACCCTGAGGACAGGTGAAATCCTGCCAGTGTGTGTGTGTGTGTGCACGTGTTTCTGTTCACGAGTGTGTGTTCCTGATGAGCCATGATGCTGAAGAGCCATGCCAACTTCTTTGTAGCGTTGATTAAAATAGCAGACGTTACAAAACCTATTTCTAGCTGAGTTAACACACACAGAGTTGACATGGGCATGCTGAGGACACACTGAACTGAACAGAGTGCTGTCTGTGTCTATGTAGTGTTCATACACAATGTTTCCTATATCATTTAACAAGACGGGCTGCTCCACCTACATTCTGCTCCGCTTTTCTCTGATCCACTCCCTATATGCACCTGTATATCAGTGGTGGCTGGTGCCACTTTAAATTGGAGGACAGGCTCATAGTTATGCTTGGACCAGAATGAAGGGAATGGTGTCAAACAATGGTTTCCAATACATGTAATAGTTTCCAATACAATACAGCTATTATTATAAGCCGTCCTCCACTCACCAGCCACCAACTCTCTGTCCTCCCCTCCCCAGCCACCAACTCTCTGTCCTCCCCCTCCCCAGCACCAACTCTCTGTCCTCCCCTCCCCTCCCCAGCCACCAACTCTCTGTCCTCCCCTCCCCACCACCAACCTCTGGTCCTCCCTTTCCCAGCCACCAACTCCTCCCCCCCCCTCCCCCCCCACCACCAACTCTCTGTCCTCCCCTTCCCCAGCCACCAACTCTCTGTCCTCCCCTCCCCTTCCCAGCCAGCCACACTCTGTCCCCCTCCCCTCCCCAGCCACCAACTCCTGTCCTCCCCCTCCCCTCCCCAGCCACCAACTCTCTGTCCTCCCCCCCCCTCCCCAGCCACCACTCTCTGTCCTCCCCTCCCCAGCCACCCAACTCTCTCCTTCCCCCTCCCCTCCCCGCCCACCAACTCTCTTCCTCCCCTCCCCTGCCACCAACTCTCTGTCCTCCCCTCCCCAGCCACCAACTCTCTGTCCTCCCCTCCCCAGCCACCAACTCTCTGTCCTCCCCTCCCCAGCCACCAACTCTCTGTCCTCCCCTCCCCTCCCCAGCCACCAACTCTCTGTCCTCCCCTCCCCTCCCCAGCCCACCAACTCCTTCCCTCCCCTCCCCTCCCCAGCCACCAACTCTCTGGTCCTCCCTCCCCCCCACTCCCCTCCCCCAGCCACCAACTCTCTGTCCTCCCCTCCCCTCCCCACCACCAACTCTCTGTCTCCCCCCCTCCCTCCCCATCCACCAACTCTCTGTCCTCCCCTCCCCTCCCCAGCCCCAACTCTCTGTCCTCCCCTCCCCTCCCCTCCACCACTCTCTGCCTCCCCTCCCCTCCCAAGCCACCAATCTCTGTCCCTCCCCCCCACCCCAGCCACCAACTCTCTGTCCTCCCCCCTCCCCTCCCCAGCCACCAACTCTCTGTCCTCCCCTCCCCTCCCCAGCCACCACCAACTCTCTGTCCTCCCCCCTCCCCAGCCACCAACTCTCTGTCCGTCCTCTCCCCAGCCACCAACTCTCTGTCCTCCCCTCCCCTCCCCCCACCAACTCTCTGTCCTCCCCTCCCCAGCCACCACTCTCTGTCCTCCCCTCCCCATCACCAACTCTCTGTCCTCCCCTCCACTCTCCTCCCCTCCCCAGCCACCAACTTCTTCCTCTCCTCCCCAGCCCCACTCTTTCCTCCCCTCCCCTCCCCAGCCACCAACTCCTTCCCCCCTCCTCTCTGTCCTCCCCCCCTCCCAGCCACCAACTCTCTGTCCTCCCCTCCCCTCCCCAGCCACCAACTCTCTTCCTCCCTCCCCTCCCCCAGCCACCAACTCTCTGTCCTCCTCCTCCCCAGCCACAACTCTCTGTCCTCCCCTCCCCTCCCAGCCACCAACTCTCTGTCCCCTCCCCTGCCCCAGCAACAACTCTCTGTCCTCCCCTCCCCAGCCACCAACTCTCTGTCCTCCCTCCCCTCCCAGCCACCAACTCTCTGTCCTCCACTCCCCTTCCCAACCCACCAACTCTCTGTCCTCCCCTCCCCTCCCCAGCCACCAACTCTCTGGTCCTCCCCTCCCCTCCCCAGCCACCAACTCTCTGTCACTCCCCTCCCCTCCCCAGCCACCAACTCTCTGTCCTCCCCTCCCCTCCCCAGCCACCAACTCTCTGTCCTCCCCTCCCCTCCCCAGCCACCAACTCTCTGTCCTCCCCTCCCCTCCCCAGCCACCAACTCTCTGTCCTCCCCTCCCCTCCCCAGCCACCAACTCTCTGTCCTCCCCTCCCCAGCCACCAACTCTCTGTCCTCCCCTCCCCTCCCCAACCACAAAGCTCTGTCTTCCCCTCCCCAGCAACACTGCATACCTGTGTATCACCCCCAGTCTAACCCTCCGTCCCCCCTCTCCTCTCTCCTCCACCTCTACAGAGTTCTATGAATAGGATGGCCATCCAGGCCCTGGAGAAGATGGAGACCAGGAAGTTCAAGGCCAAGGTCAAGGGTCAGCGTGAGAGCAGCTGCGGAGCGTCTGATTCGCTGAGCAGTAGCTCCACCTCCGACTGTGCAATCTGTCTGGAGAAGTACATAGACGGAGAGGTACTAGACAGAACACACACACACACTGAATACTGTTCAGAAAAAGTTGTGAGAGTCTTTGTCATGTCAGAAAGGGGTGAGCTTCAGGAACAGAAAGCATGGTCAGAGACGTATGGTCAGAAACTGATTTTGGTTTCTGAAGTCTGTAGAAATACTACAAAAAATTGACCAAATACTTATTTTCCACCATAATTTGCAAATAAATTCATTAAAAATCCTACAATGTGATTTTCTGGATTTTTTTTCTCATTTTGTCTGTCATAGTTGACGTGTACCTATGATGAAAATTACAGGCCTCTCTCCTCTTTTTAAGTGGGAGAACTTGCACAATTGGTGGCTGACTAAATACTTTTTTTCCCCACTGTATGTATTCTATACCCTAATCGTGAAAACTCACTGTGTAAATATGGATTCTGGACACTAATCATTAAGAGTCACAGTAGAAATATGTATCCTAATCTTGGACCTTTGTAGGTTTACTGTAACAGCATTGCTCATCACTGGCCAGCCTCAGGGCTGACAGGGGACCCAGTCAGCCAGTCAGTCTGTCTTTATGTGGTTATGTGGTCATGTGGTTAAAAACACACAACACACAACAACAGGACAGCAGAGAGGAAGTAGTGATATAGAAGGCTGAATGGCATCAAAGGGGTTGGAGCAGTAACGTAAGCAACAAAAGATGTCTGGAATAGAGGAGGAGAAGAGGAGTCATGCCAGGGGAGGGAGGGAGGGAGGGAGGGAGGGAGGGAGGGAGGGAGGGAGGGAGGGAGGTGTTCAGTATTGCTGTACATTTATTATGTGATGAGGGTGAAGAAGAGAAACCTTCTTGCTGCTTTGCTGCCAGCTGTTGTCCGTTCACCCATCAAACACCAATCATGTCCTTAGATATTGTAAGCCTTTACTAACCTTAACTCTCCTCCTCTCCCCCTGTTCCTCTCCTCCTCTCCCCCTATTCCCCTGTTTCTTTCCTCCTCTCCCCCATTCCTCTCCCCCTCTCCCCATTCCTCTCCCCCTGTTCCACTCCCTCTTCTCCTCTCCCTCTGTTCCCCTCTCTTCTGCTTCCCCTCGCTCTCTCTTCCCCTCTCCTCTCTCCTGCTCCCCTCCTCCTCTCCGTCCCCGTCTACAGGAGCTGCGGGTCATCCCCTGTGCCCACAGGTTCCATATGAAGTGTGTGGATCCTTGGCTCCTCCAGCACCACACCTGTCCTCACTGCAGACACAACATCATTGGTGAGTTGGTACACACTCGCTACATCCCAAATGGCACCCTATTCCCTATGAACCCTGGTCAAAAGTAGTGCTCTATATAGAGAACAGGGTGCCATTTGGGACACACTGTTGTCAGTATGAGGCCTGTAGCTATCTGATAGGAGTTTTCCAGCCTGCAAATATTTCACTTTTGTCAGACTATACAACCCAGTAAAACAGAAAAAGAGACTAATCGATTAATTTAATCAACGTAAAATACCCTTTTCATGAAACTGTAACAAAGCTAACTTTTCAAATACTTTTATTTGACTCCAAACTCTCTCCCTCTCTTACACTCATATTCTTTTCTCAGAGCAAAAGAAGGGGAACCCCGGCCCTGTCTGCATGGACCCAGGCAACCCCGTCTACAGCCGGCAGCAGAGGGTAGTCCTGCCTGTCCACTACCCTGGCAGGGTGCACCGTTCTGGGCAGGTGACTGCCTACCCCACCCGCATCTCCATGGACCACCATGGTAACCCCATCACAGTGCTCACAGTGGACCAGCACGCAGACCCCCAGGGCCTGTACCCTCCCCAGTCTGCCCACGCCGGGGCCTTCCTCCGGGGCTACCATCCCCACCCAACCCTGCACCTGGACCACTCTCTCAACCCCCACCACTGTGGCCTGGAGCACCAGCGCCTGGGCCTCAACCCCCCTGCCTACCCCCAGTACCAGCAGCCCGGGCCCAACCACGGCGCCTTCAAGAGGCCCAAGTTCCACGGACGTAGCTTCTCGCGTGCCGCCTGCTACTCGCAGTACGAGACCATGTACCAACACTACTACTTCCAGGGCCTGACCTTCCCCCAGCAGGGTGAGGGGACCCAGAGGGCAGCAGGCATAGGGGGGGTGTCTGGGGGCACCGGGCCCCACAAGGGCCACCACAGCAGGGCCTTCCAGGGGGGGCTGCTCTACCCCACGGTGGTCCACATGGCCCCAGCCACCAGCTCCAGGATGGGTGAGGCAGGGAGCGGTGCCTCGGGCCTGGGCTGTTACCATGGCCACCGCTCGGTGTGCAGTGGTTACCTGGCCGACTGCCCGGGCAGCGACAGCAGCAGCAGCAGCTCTGGCCAGTGCCACTGTTCCTCCAGTGACTCTATGCTGGACTGTACAGAGATCAGTAACCAGGGGGTGTATGGCTCCTGTTCCACTTTCCGCAGCTCCCTGAGCTCTGACTACGACCCATACGTCTACCGCAGTAAGAGCCCCTGTAGGGGGTCGCAAGGGGAGCCAGGGGCCACCTCTGCAGGGGCCTCTACCGCCTGCCCCTCCACAGCCGAGGACTCCCTAACCCCAGCTCCCTCGGGGGGCCAAGACGGTTACAGCATGCAGCCACAGCCTCCTCCTGGAGCCTCAGGGTTCGGTGTGGGGGACCAGCTCTCTATCTGCAGTCTGGAGCCCAACTACAGCAGCCACTCATCACTGGAACAACCCAGGGACGCCAGCACCACTAGCACTACCTCAGCCAGGCCTCTAGAGGGAGCCACCACCGCGGTGGACCTGGCGAAGGGAGGGCAGACAGAGGAGGAGACAGGGGGGGAGCATGGCCTGGGTGGAGCAGGTGCGTGTAGCTGCTGTTTCGAGGTGCTCCCTCCCAACATGGAGGGCAAAGGTCAGCAGGGATATCAGAGGCAGGACTCAGACTGGGCGGGGCCAATGGCCTCCTCGGGGCGTGGCTGTCACAGGGGGGCAGAGCAGAACTTTTACCATCCTGGGGAGCACCTGTTGGCTCCTTCAGAGCAGGTGAGCTATGAGGGCCTGCCCTGTTGCTTCTACAAGGAGATGAAGGTCCACCGGGCCACAGGGGGGTGCTATAATGAGGACTATGCCGTGAATGTGCAGTATGCGCACCACGCTGCTGACTCAGACGCCTGCTGTGGCGAGCTCAGCCAGAGAATACCCATAATCCACCAGGACACAGACTGTGAGCTGGGCTTGGGAGCGGAGACTCTGTATCAGAGCAGCCTACTGCCAGCCAGCCTCACCTTGGGGCAGGGGGGCGAGGGGTGGACTGGGGGGCGGGTGGAGCCTGGTGAGGGAGGGTACTTCACCTCAGGACAGTTCAGAGGTCAAGCGTACCCCACCCAGGAGGAAGAGACCAGGGCCCTGTTCCACCCCCAGAACTCCACTACCCACGATGCATCGGGAAACAGTAAAGCTACAGACAATGGTCTGGGGGTATGAGGGGGTGTGGAGCCCAGAAACAGGGACTCAAACAAACAGCCTCTTTGGTACCTAACCGGTCGGTTGGTCAAGAAACCCTCAGTTGCCTTGCTAGTTTTAAGCCTTGCTCGCTCGCTGAACTCTGAATATCATCCTAGATGGTGATGGTGTAGATTTCTACTGAAATTAAATGATGGCCTGCCTGCCTGGTGTATCCAGACATATCCAGTTCGTTCCTCAGCATTAACCCAGCTCAACCCACGCCCCGCCTCACCAGCAGACTCTACAGGCTCAGCTAGATAGAGAATCAGGCTACAACACATGGGTGGAAGTTCACAGTGGTTGGTTGGAACAGTGGATGGCTTGACAGTGCCACAACACAACACGTAGGCCAGCCCTTACAGTACCATCAGTGCCAGACAGGGTCAGTCCGGATCATGAGACCCATATGGAGAGAAACTAACTGTGTTAGCAGGGCCCAGATTGTGAGATATTTTTTCTTCTGATTTGGTGAGTTGTTTTTTCTATAATCACACAAATGCCTGTGTGTACATGCATATGTTCTTAATGTACTAGTCTATTGTACTTTACTGTTCTTATGACATAACGTTGCCTATACAGCTTGGACAACAAGCTTCAACAAACCTCCAAACTCAGATGAAAGGTTATGGAAGAATACCAAAACATAAACATATTTTATTTTTTAGGGGGTTGGGTGAGGGGACGGTGTCCTTGCTAGTTAGTCACAGTCACACACTGTTTCATTGAGCTAAGCTATATTAACTAGACTACAGTTCTGTCTCTTGGGATACTCAATGGGGCGCAATATTCTAGAACAATGCAGATAGAATGTTGACTCAGTTCTCTGTTCTACATAATAGAGAGTCTGTTCTATATACAATACATTTCTATCTGCAATGTTCAGAACATTGTGCCTTTTAGACATGCACCTGACCAACACCAAGCCTTAGGCCACTGAGACATCTTTACTATCTTGGGCTCTGTGTCACCTTTTGGTTAAATAGAGGTCCACATAGTAACAGGGTCCTAGAAATACATTTGGAAATCTTCAAAAGGATTGGATTTATACCAGTTTTAGTCACTACTTGTAAGTTAGAAGCTCTTTTAATTTTTATATATTTTACTCATCTAGCCTCCTCTTCAACACTTAAGCTATAATATACTGTGGATGGTTCTATAAAGCTGTTGTGTGTCAAAAAAGTCCAAAGGGGGGAAAAATCATTCACAAGGGATCCCTTTTATACTGTGGCTGTGGTTACACAGCGCTGTTACACAAAAAACAACATGTCTGATTCATTTTTTTATTTTATTAAATCATACAGTACACATCATGCTCTCAAACAATATCGACTTTGTTCATTCATGCCTTCTCTCTGTTGATTTTACAAACTGTTTTTACTGTTTCTATGAAATGTACCCATTCTCTTCACAGAGGCAATCGTTTTGAAATAACAATATTTATATGATAACCCAGAGCCGTAATCAATGAAAGATATTGAGAATCTAATCTTGCCTTTGCATAAAGATATGTACTACAAATATAACATTTTGGGTTACCCAAGTCACTATTTAATTGTTTTGTTTTATTATTTGTAGCACTTAAGAAGATTGTATTAAAAGAAAATGTGTACACAAAATTAATATTTTTTTAAAGAATATAATTATTTTCTCCATCATTACCATTTTACAAATGTTTAAAAAAGGCTAGAAATCAATCTGTATATTTCTGCATCTGTATAGCAGCACATTTAATAAATGGAAATATGTTCTCTGAATATTTATTTACTAATATATTTATCTTCAAGCCATGTCTTATGTTGCGAGTGTATGAAAGTTTTGGAGTTATTTGGTTGCTGTTTTTGATAAAATCGCTAAATACATGGTAATTGCACACAAAATGATTCAATATTCTCTGACCAAAAATTGATTTAAAAAAATGTATTACCATACAGCTGTGTAATTAAAGTGTACAAAGATCTGTAAAATATACAGTTTTATTCAAGTAAATCACATTGTGGTGTTTTTTTTCCCCCAAACCTTTTCATCTTCATTCAGGGAAATCCACAACAGTACAGTGTTGATTAGAAGTGATATCTTAAATCTGGTACAGGCCTACATCTCTTTTGGATAGAACACTTTGGGAGGAAAGCATATATACGGAATATTTTAAACCACACAACTTAATCATAGTCTTTGACTGGCCTGGAGTTAACTGAGAGAGACAGGATATTACTTATATTTTGAAGACTACTCCGAAGCTATGCCACAAAAGTGCACCTTGGTCAAAAGTAGTAGACTATATAGGGAATAGGGTGCGATTTGGGACGCATCCTGACTGTCGTCTTCTTGCCTAGAACTTGGAACACTGCTTCTGATCTGTCTCCCCCTAGTGGGCGGGAAACAACATGCTAAAGAGAACCATATTCAAAACTAAGAGTGAATCTCAATTGTTTATCCTTGATTCCTGTCCTCCTCAAAAGGCATCGGAGGAGAGGATCCAAGGTGCATTGACGGACAATATCTATGTTTTTTGAGATGAGCGCGACTGAGGAGCGAGGACGCAAGTAATCAAGGAAATACAATTAAGATTCACCCCAAGACGAGAACACTGAGGTGTAATCACTAGGAACCAAACGGAAGCAAAAGGAACGAAACTGGGAGGGACCTACCTGAATTTGTCCAATAGAAACTCAAGTTTTCTTGCAAAACGTTTTCCGTTTTGGAGTAAACTGTTTTCGTCGCAAAAATATTTTTGGACTAATGATTATACCCCTGCTCCGGGGTGAAGTTCCCCCTGGGTACAAATCTAGGATCAGCTTCCCCTCCCCCAATCCTAACCTTAACCATTTGTGGGGGAAATGCAAAATTGACCCAAGATCAGCATTTAGGGGCAACTTCACTGTTTCACACTACTCCAAGAATACTCCAGGATTGTTGTCACCACCAGGGAGCAGTCAAAGCATTGAGGTACGCGTTCAACTTTTATCTGTCACATGCGTCAGTTGTAGGCTTTACTGTGAACCGCTTACTAGCCCTTCCTAACGATGCAGAGTTTAAAAAATAAGTACAATTACAATAATAGCACAGGAGGGATAAAATACACAAGAATGGAGCTATATACAGGAAGTACCAGTACCAGATGAATGTGGAGCTATAAACAGGAAGTACCAGTTCCAGATCAATGTATAACTAATACAGGGAATACCAGTACCAGATCAATGTGGAGCTATATACAGGGAGTAGCAGTACCAGATCAATGTGGGAGCTATATACAGGAAGTAGCAGTACCAGATCAATGTGCAGGGTCACACTAGGGACAGTGTGTGGTGAATTATATGTCTTTAGTCATTTGAGGAAGTGGACATGTCGGTTATAACACAATAATATGCTAGTCATGATTATAGGCTGGTAAAAGTAAGAGAGAGCTGAATTTCCTCCTTTTTTATCCACAGTGTTGCATCAGACAATGATTCTGCATTAGAACGGTTAAGTCCAGCATCATTATCTGATCAGATGGATGCTTAAAAGGAGAACTGTTTGGAACAACTAATTGTAATGTCATTCTTCAATGCAATATCATTTTCTTGTGTTTCTTGGACCCCAATCAAAATGCTGTGCAGTAATATGATATACTGCACAAGTACCATATCAACATGCCTGTATGTGGCATGACATATTACTTAAGTCATGGTTTGAGTATCATGCTTTTTGAAAATCTACATTCAAATACATCCTGCAGATATGCTATGTGTGCATGTGAAACCCCACTGCCACAGGGGTTTGTCTCATAGGTTTACCCATGCCTGATATTTTCAGTACTAGACCCTCAACACCTCTAGAGCCCCCACCTCAACACCTCTAGAACCTCAACACCTCTAGAACCTCAACACCTCTAGATCCTCAACACCTCTAGATCCTCAACACCTCTAGAACCTCAACACCTCTAGAACCTCAACACCTCTACATCCTCAACACCTCTAGAACCTCAACACCTCTACATCCTCAACACCTTTAGATCCTCAACACCTCTACATCCTCAACACCTCTACATCCTCAACACCTCTACATCCTCAACACCTCTAGATCCTCAACACCTCTAGATCCTCAACACCTCTAGATCCTCAACACGTCTACATCCTCAACACCTCTAGATCCTCAACACCTCTACATCCTCAACTCCTCTGCACCCTCAACACCTCTACATCCTCAACACCTCTACATCCTCAACACCTCTACATCCTCAACTCCTCTGCACCAACACATACTGTGTACAGTAATTCCATTATATTTGTTATGGATCCCCATTAGCTGCTGCCTCCAGCAAAATTGAGGCAGTTATACATTTTTAAAACATTACAATACATTCATAACAGATTTCACAACATATTAAGTGTGTGCCCTCAGCCCTCTACTCTACTACCACATACCTATAACACAAAATCAATGTGTACATGTGTGTATAGTGCGTATGTTATCGTGTGTTTGAATGCATGTGTCTATGTTTGTGTTAATCCCTGAGCTCTAGATAGCCTAGTGACCCTCTAGTTTAACATACATGATCATGTCAACTACGTCAGGATTTCACTCTACTACTTCTACTACAGCTTCTAAACGCTTGGTGTTGGTATCTGGGTTGTTGTTGTTGTTGAGGCAGACAGTATGCAGCTACAGTGAGGGCAGGGCAAAATGTGATGGGGGCACAGAAACAAAAAGAGCGCTATGTCAGCTCTACTGGCGGTGAACAAAGCGTAGCTTATCCACCTGACAAAGTCCTGGCAGAGACCCTAAAACAATTATGGGGGGGGGGGTTGACAATGAACACTATTCTGCTAGTGGATTTAGGTCAATTTACACAGCAAATTGTTTAGGCTCAAAAGCGTCACGTTTTCCCAACATTAGCCGCTCAATTAACTGCAAGAAATGTCATCTTTGACCAGAAAATATTTGACAGATGAGCGTAAAAAGTTATTTGTTTATAATTTGATTGAGTTGTCATACAG